TTGTGGAACCAGGGATTGAACTCAGGCTCTTGTGCTTGCCAGGGAAGCACTTATTCCACTGAGCCATCTCCCTGGCCCCAGGAAATATTTCTGAGTGATTGGGAAGATACAATATTTCAAAGCTTGCAGCCTAGCGAAAGCAGGGAGCACACACTGCTGTGTATTAGACGAGGCACAAGCTCAAGCGTTTTCACATCTATCTTAAGAAATTAGAAAGGAAGCCAGAACTCGAACGTTAAAATTAACAAAATTTAAAAAGAGGAGCATAGAAATAGATGGAATTAAAAACAGAAGCATAAAAGTAACAGCAAGACATCAAAAGTCAGCTCTGGGAAAGAACGATATTGAACAATCCCCACAAAGGTGGATCAAGAAAGAAGGATTAAAAAAAGTAAGAGAAGACACACATTAGTAGTGTCGAAAGGATATGTCACTATAGATCTTAGCAGACATTACAGATGGTTAGTTAGAGGAAATGAAAAAAATGAATAGAAGAAAGAAAACAAAACTGATGAATTAGAAGTGGGAAATATGAATAGTTCTTTATGTGTGAAAGAAAATGACTGTGTAATTTAGAAAATCTTCGGCTGGCTGACTCCATGTGTACAGTCTTTCAAAATACTTGGAAAGAATTCACACTGTATTTCAGCTATTGCAAAAGGAGGCCACTGCCTTTTTTTTTTTTAAAGAGAAAAAAAAAAAACACACAATAAGATGACACAGAATTTCCAAAGAAGGTGACATCAAATTAACAATGGTTGTTATACTGCATATTGTTATCTTCACAGTAGTTTACCACATTAGGCAGGATACAGGCATGTGACATGGGTCAGTTAACATAAGCACTAACTGTTCCTTTCAATGAACTAGTACAAATTAGTAATACAATTATCTTAGCTGTCATATATACGTATATAATATACAATGGAGTGTTGCTCAGCTATAGAGAAAGATAAATTCAAGGTTTTTATAAGTAGATACAACTAGTCAGCATTTTCATAAGTGAAATACACAAGATCCTCACGTGTAAACATCATATTGTCTCCCTAGTGCAAGAAACTAGAAGAGTAAAAAAGATCTAAAATGTACAGTAGATATTGTGAGAGGGAAAGAAACTGCTCAAAAGGAGAGAACAACTGGAACGGGGGAAGGAGCAAAGAAAGAAGGGCTAACCTTTTTTTTTTAAAATGAAAGCAATATAACCTTAAATATGACAATAACTTCCTACAAATAAGTTTCCATATATTAATACACTAGAAATTGAGTCAGAGAGACTCTGCACCAAAAGGAAAGCTGCTATAACTCCCAACTAATCACTGCACGACAGATGCGCTACTATCTACTTCTCAGAACCTCAACTTGTGCCCCAACCTCTAGGAAAACAGCATGCATACCACATTTTAATATAAATATGTGCCAATTTATATACTTATACTGAGGTTGAAGTGATATTACAATACAGAATTCGTTAAAACTCGAATGAATTCATAGGGAATTATGGAGAAACAGTATGTGAATTAAAAAGAAAAGTCCTTAATACTTAAAAAGTTGTTACTTTGAGTCTAATAACTGAACAATATTAAAATCATATAATTAAGTTATATATATATATATATATATATATATATATATATATATAATCACTTAGCTGATGTCTTGGTTACTTTTTTCTCATTGCTGAGACAAAATACCCAACACCCAAAGTTACAGGGGGAAAGACTGGTCAGGGTCAGGCTCACAGGCTGGGGCCGTCTCAGGCCGCAGTGGGCTGGCTCCAAGCAGGGTGACACGCTCCAGAGCAACACTCCAAGGTGGCAGAAGGCAGCAAGAGCAGCGGGGTGGGGTGGGGGGCCACAAGCCTGCGTCCTTCCTCCCTCGCACTGCAAGGAGGCTGCCGGCCGAGAAGGCGCAGCGCTCACACCGTCCTCCCCCCTCCTCTCCACCTCATGGGAGGACCCAGGGCTTCTCTTACCGGAGAGACCCTAAGTACAAGGGAGGGGCAAAAGAAAAGACAATGGGAAGAAGGCAGGCAGATGTTCTCAAGGGGAGGCAGCTGAGAGGCAGAGGGAGAGGTGGGGAGAAGGGGCGGGGAGAGAAGCCGAGGTGCCTTCAGCGCCTGCTGCAACTCCCTCCTCCCTCCAAGCACTGCCAACACAGAGCAATACAAACTATGAGTAGACTATTTTTTTTCTTATTTAGAATTTTACTTTTTCTCTTATTTTCATTATGTCAACAGAGCTGGGCAAGCCCTATTGTTACAAAAGTTCTGCTCTGTTTTCTCTGCATGTTGAATGCATGAAAAGTGCTCCTCCAAGCTACGAAATAGCCGATTGGGAATTCAGTCAGGGCTCTACGCATGTCACTTAGGAAGGCTTAGGTTTCAAGATGACAAAGGCACTTTAACAAGCACGTTGCTGGCTCAGTGGAATAAGCGCTTGCCTGGCAAGCGCAAGGGCCTGAGTTCAATTCCCAGTTACGCCAAAAAGACTAAGACCAAAAAAAAAAAAAAAAAAAAAGAAGAAAAGCGCATTGCTGGGCATGGTGGTGCACACCTCTAATCCCAGAACTTGGGAGGTTGAAGCAGGAGGATCCTTGTGAGTTCAAGACCAGCATGGGCTACAAAGTGAGCTCAGGCCAGCCTGTACTGCATAGCAAGACCCTGTCTCAATAAGACAAAACAAAACCAAATAAGCACGCGTAAGAAGTCACAGCTGCATTCCCAAGTTCTGCGCATGCACCGCATTCACTCCGACATCATCTTCCTTTTCATCTTCAGGGATCTCAGGATCCCAGAAACAACGTGCCGTACTGCAGTTTCTCGCTGAGTGTGTACCCAACTTCCCAAGCACCTGCATCCTGCCACACGCGGCAGCCTGTCTTGATCTAACCAACCAAGTTATGCCACAAGGCCGCTCACGGGGTGCTGTCCGGTGCACCAGCGCACCCATCACCGGAGCTCGAGAGGAGCAATTCTTATCTGGAGCAATGGCAGGAAGCACAGCTGCAGAAAGCAGAGGTGCCTGCGGGTACTCACAGGTCTCCATGAACGAGGCCGTAGATCTGCGGCATGCCCTGCTGATGGACCCCTCTCAGGACCACGATGAGCAGGATCACCACGAGGGACGGCAGCCCCCAGCCCAGGAGGAGGAGCAGCGGGGCCCGTCGCTCCGTGTGCTCGTCGCTCATCACCAGCACGTACCAGAAATTCACCGACTAGGAGGAAGACAGAAGGAAGGTGTTAGGGTCAGAGGCACAGGACGGCAGCCCAGCTTACCCACTGCCCTTTTTATTTTCCTTTATTTTCTCCCATTTAACCTCAGTCACGATGCTCTGTGCTTGTTCTGAAAATCTGGCTTTGAAGAAACAGGTGCCGAGGTTTAAATCTACTTCCCACGAGAACTTCATGATGACGAGAAGGCGGGCAAGAGCCCAGGTTTTCTGAGTTTCTGATAGTTTTTATTAATTCAGGGGTAACACATGACAAGGCCAGAGGCTGTTCCTGGGAAGGGGTTCCCCATCTCAGTCTCCAGGGGTAGACCCAGAGGACCAAATGCAAAAGCACTGCTTCAGGCCGGGTGAGGCTTCGCGGTCTGCTTGGCTGTGAGATCTAGCTCACTTTTTTTGTTTACTCAGCTGATAAATATTTATTGAGTGCTTATTTCAGAGACCAGCCAGCCACTGATGAGTCAGCACTGAAAGAGATGGGAGATCTCAAGTCTCGGATCCCAAACAAACAGGCCATGAATGCTTACGGGTATGTGTGTTTTATGTTTCTACAATTATTGCACCTGCTATTCTTACTAAGGTATAATATGCAGAGGGCAAGTGTATAAAGTGTAGGGAGGTGCAGAGATAGATAATTCAAAGAGAACAAGGAAAGTGAGGCCTGCGAAGGTTACTCTTGGGCCCAAACCTGTCTAGGCAAACAGAAAATATATATTGTCTTCTAGTGTTTTCATTCTGTGAGAAATGCTTCATTTGTCATCTAATACAGTAATGGCATTGATTGTCATATTGTCCATATTCCATGCAGTAATCATTGATACCCCTTTGCTGGGTGAGCCTCCTTCACAATTTAATATGGAAAAAGAGGGAGGGTAAATGAATTTTATTCATACATACTCTATTAGGGGACACAGAAAAGTAACATTTCCAGAGCTCAGTGTCCTGGTGCTCATTTAACCATAGAGATTAAATGAAATATTATATATAAAATGCTAAACACATACACAGTCACTGTTGGAAAATGTGTCCACCTCCCTTAAATCTCCTACTGGGATATGACACAGGAGAAAGAGCTGAAGACCAGAAGTAAACACAGATACAGGGGAAGGCCTTTCTGTGTGAAAAATAAGTATGGAGAGAGGTTTTCTGGTGCTGTTTACTGGGCTTTCTGAGTAAGATTCTATCTGGATTGGACTTGCCTTGGGAACTAGTATTAGGCTAAACAACGGAAGGATAAAAATGTTTGGTTCCTTGAAGATTTTCATTTCTGATTTTGATTTGCTGTCAGCACTCTTTATCTTCATGTATATCTGCTTATATGTAATTATAAAGCATGTTTTGAGCTGTTGCTTATGTAAATTTGTTCTAACTTCTTTATAAAAATTATTCCATCCAAAGAGTTTTTTCCTTCTCTGTAGATTTAGCAGAAGGATGTGGCCCTAAATAAATAGGGCAAGTCAAGTGTCAAAGGCTGAGGGCATCCATTCTGCATGACAAAGGATGAAATGTCACACAATGTGACATCAATCAATCTATCTCCAAAATACAAGTGCTCATTCTGTATGAAGTAGATGTCTCTGTGTCCAGACAACATGGAACCCATGGCACCACAGGGCAGAATCAAACGAGAATACATACTGGTGACTTCTAAGCAGGTCGTCATCATAAAGACTGGACATGAGCTTCTGAGTATGAATTCCTTCTTAATGGCATCCAATCACTCACACGTATGATAATGACGGCACTGCTAGATCACATGTTATTTTTTAGATGACAGAATGAAAATACTATGTAATAATACAAGTATTTGAGAAACATCCTGTGGTCAACATGTAAGATTAACTGACGTATTTCCCTGAACATGTGTGGGACACATGACTAGCCCACGAGCTCCTCCATCCTAGGCCTGTCCCAGCACCTCCAGTAGGCCCAGCACTCCGGTGCTCCAGACTCCCCTGCAGGCCAGAGCTGATCTGACGGGGCAGAGTCTGGGCTACCCATCTGCTGCTGAACTCCCTGGACCTCTGCAAGTGACTAAAGGGTACAATGAACCAAGAGCGTATGGGAAGCATCGTGGTAGGGCAGCCACATGTACAGTGAGGAGAGAGTCTAAGCCCTCTGGGGCTTGCAGGCCCTTGTGAGGCCAACTACACTTACAGATCTTGGGTTACATGAATTATCCTGTGTAGTTACTCCTTCAATGATTTTACTGTTTAAATGAGCTCAATTGAGTTTTTTTCTTTGTCCAAAACAACCTGACTACATCCTGAAGCAATGGGTCAAAACCTCCAGTGTTTGCTAGTCTCTAAACAAAAGATGATACAGAATTTGACTATCTTTCTGTCTTCAAATCATGGCTTTTCCTTTGTATTCTAATTTAACAACATAACGAGGCCAGTATGTTTGCACAGCAATTTCACATAGATAGCATCAAAACTATTCCACTAGATATACTCTCTAGAGACAAGCCTAGAAAGACTGAAACATATAGTCATCATTACAAACCACTGAATTGGTTACTTTGAAAGAGACAATAGGAAGAAGATTTTGCAGTGATACTGTTAGTAGTTACATATTTAATAAGAACTCTAAGCATTGATTTCCTACTAAATGTTTCACCACCTTATTTTCATTCTTATCAATGAAGGACAGTTGATTTTGTTTTGCATATCTATCATCACCAGCATATCAAGATTACCCAGGTGACTATACTTGGGAGAACTTAATACATAGTCAATTTTAATCACTGTTAATAAAATTATGCAATATTTTTGAAAATTTCCTATCATATGCAGAATCTACAGAAATATGGAAAGGAGAATTTGAACAGATCCCCCATAAGCCACCACATCAATAATGGGAATAGCAGGTCTTTTAAATTTATAGAAATTGGAAAAGACATGGTGAATAGCAACCTGACTTGGGTTCTGACAGCTCTGCCTGGATATGCTGTATGTTCTTTGCCAACACCATTGGTCTCCTCTGAGTTTCAATTTCTCTCTCTGATAAGAGGAGATTCAACTGTAAGTTGTTAACCATTTCCAACACTGAATGACAGTAGAAATAATTACTTAAATAAAACTATGAACTGCATGGCTTCCGAGCCCACACTTTTCAGTGGTAGCAGATTAGGTTAGAGATCTCCTGAATGTGCGCTGCTATTTCCGGACAAGGACACAGAGTTGGGGAGAGAAAAGTGCAGGTTCTTCACATAGCTACAGAACTGGGAGTAGGAAGCCATCCTGAACACGCCGTGAACACTGGTACATTTACAGTTAATGTCCACAGAAATGCACGCAAGCACTGACATGTTACCATGCGCCAGCGAGCTTCCTTTCTTGGCCCCATTTGTTCCTCTTAGTATGGACGGGATTGAAGATGCGTTTTCACATAGAAGTCTCCTGCCCTGTTCACTTGGTGCTAACATTTAATGAAAAATGATTAAAGGTCTCAAAATATAAATAGTTTGAAACAACTAAGTTGTGGGAGATTAATTTTTCATATATACAATATTAAAAATGAAGCTTTCAGGGCCGGCCAGATATTTCAGCGGACTCATGCGCCTGCTTAGGCAGATGCAGGGACCGGGGTTCCATCCTCGGCATGCTGTTGCAGGGACCGGGGTTCCATCCTCGGCATGCCGTGCCAGCCCCGCCCCCAGGGTGCACTGAGATGGCAATTGAAACTGGGCGTGGTGGTACGTGCCTGTAATCCCAGCGCTTGGGAGCTGAAAACAGGAGGATCATTAAGAGTCCGATCTACTTGGTAAGACCCTGTAGACCCTGCAGAACCTGTACTAAATACATAAAAAAAGAAAAATTAAGCTCTGTGCCATTTCATGGAATTCTTTGCATGTAATCTCTATTCAAAGACATCAAATAAACAAAGATGCACACAATTTGGTCTGAGAATTTAGCACATTTAATTTGTTTTCCAGGAATGTTTTCAGTGACTGCTGTTTTCCAAATGTCTACACAGCAAAATCAAAGACACACTCTGTTAAAGGCTTTGGACAAATCATACTTTTGCTTTCATATGTCCCATAAACTCATTCATTAACTTAGTTATGTATCATTAACAACATTCATTAACTTCTTCACATATCCTACCATGTATATTAGTACATCAGTAAAATACAAAGGAGAAATGCAGCTTTTTCAGGTTAAAAATGGGTTCTCTGAACTCCCTAAGTTTTCATGTGTCAGCAGCCAAAGCTTAGGATGCCAGCTAATGTTAATCTTTGGCTAGTCATTGTTTTGCTGGGTGCTTTAAACAGATGTAATGCATCAGGTTTAGTCCGAGATCAGAGATGCTAGTCATCCTGTCCACTGCCATGTGTCCTCAATCCTTCATTTCAAGGACAGTCTCAGAAATGTCGCCGCACATCCTTCCCCTGCTTCTCCTTCTTTCTTAATATTTATTGTGTGAAATAAACCGGAAGGCTTTTTGAGGGTTGAAGAATTCCGTTATTTCCTGGGTATGTCATTTTTATCCTGGTAATAACTCCCAGGCTGTTATCCTTAATACTTTTGATGTCCCCTCAAATTAAATCAAGGACAAAGGAAAAACAGGGTTACCTCCAGAAGTTTCCTTCTCATTCTCCGCACTGGTACTAGGTAAGCTTTCTAGCAAGGACTCAATGGAAACCTTCTTCATGGCCTGGTTACGGGCAAGGTGAGGGCATAACACGTAAGTAAGTGCTCAAGTACAGCTGCGAAGTTCCTGCGTAGCCCTACCGCACACGAGCATCTCAAAGAATGTACTCGTCTCCTTGATTAGCTCATGATCTGGCAATCGGACTAGAGTGTGTTTCATGTAAATACTAACAGTTAAGGCACACTTTCCAGGAACTTACTCAGCATGTACTCTCTAAGTAAACAAATGTTCCCCATGCAAGAAAGTACAAGGAAAAACTGTTCACAATAGCAAAAAACAAAAAAACAAAAACAAAAAACCACCAACCTAGCAATAATTAGAATTTCATCAAGTGGAGACCAGAAAAATAAACCACAGGACAACCATAGAATAGCACAGAAAAAAGTACAGCTGTACATGGTGAACATAAAGATGTCTGAATTTATGTACTATTACACACACACACACACACACACACACACATTTGAGCTTGCTTATGTATTTATAAATATTTGTCTATTCATGGGATATTTCTGGAGGGCCACACAGGAAGCCACTTGAAATGTGCATCCTCAGCCTGGTGTTGAGGACAGCAGCAGGGAATGTGTATGCGAAATAGCAATAAAGACATGCTTTTTACTTTTTATTTCTCTAAAGTTTTATGCCACTAAAAAACATTATCTCTCAAATTAAAGCAAAACAGAGAAAGGGAACAGTCGTGAAACAATTAGCTAAGATGTGGCCAGGTTTGAGGTTCTCACTGCCAGTCTTCCTTAAAGTAAACATGAGGTGGCTCTCTTAAGGAAGTGGGTAATACTTTCAGTAATTCCACTGAGGGATTTTACATGAACAGCAAACAGAAGGGTAACTGAGTACCCAGGGCCACAAAGGGGCTTGTGAGTTGTCTGCTTGAAAACAAAATAAGCAAAGTGCCTTCCCACCGTACGCTGAACGACTTCCTTGCCGTAGGAAGCGGAGCCCTTAAGAAATGGGCTCAAAGCCATCAGCTGTGGGGCCTGCTCTGAGCCACATGCATGCTTTAGTAATGGGCGAGAGATTCCAGTTCGCTACGGCTTCGCAGCTAGTATCTGTCTCACCTGAAGTTAGTTCCCTTCCCACTGTGTTGGGTCGGCTCTCTTTTGTAGTAAAGATGTAAGTTATACTGCAAAAGTAGAATACTGAACGTGTTTGAAGATGTGATATTTTGGGCACACAAAGTAGCTTAACAAGTAATAGGAAGACAGAGAGAGAGAGAGAGAGAGAGAGAGAGAGAGAGAGAGAGAGAGAGAGAGA